CATCCCAGGAGGGGCTTCCTCCACTATGGGGCGGGGGAGACGCATCCCAGGGGTCAAAGGACTCTAATTGTACTGCGCTCACCAAATTCTTTCTCTCAGATCTTTGAGGAAATCAGAATCAGATACTGTTTTCACAAAAGGCTAAGTAAAGTGGACTGAGTTTTATAGTACTGCTCTTTTAAGGGCACTATTTCAAGTTGCTAAATGTGACTCTTTTTGACAAATTAAATATTTGTTTTCATCACAGAAATTAGCCTATAATTAAAAAGGCAAATAATTTTTGACAGAAATTATGACTAACTGTAGACCCAGCTATTTAATCATTAATCAAATGAAAATTCAAACTTTGCATCTGTGTCCCAATGGAAAGAGGCTTTGAAAACGCCAGTTTACATTGTACTGGGGGTGGGAATCACCAACTATAGAAGTTCATCACAAACTCCAATGAGTTTATGAGGTTTTGTTTTTAAAGTGCTCCAGTGGCTACAGTAACAACAGAAGAGTTTAGCTGTGAAACCATTTGTTCAACTTTTTGCCCTGATAACTCCAATAGAAACTTCCAATAAATTATAAGATTCACTGTGATATGGGGGTGGGGAAGGATTTTCTCAAAAATGCCATTTTGAAATTAAACCACCCTGAGAGTTCCAGAACACTGAATCTTGCATTTCTATTGGGATGCAATGTGTAACCACATGTGCTGTAGGTTAAACTTTCCATGAAGTTTATTTACATCTTTGGGGGAAAACTGGAGGAGAGACTTTGAATACAAACATGCACTACAGGGTAGATGAAATTAGTTATGGGTCAGGCAGAAACATCTGGTCTTTTAAAAGTCCTGTTAATTTGAAAACACTGACCAAAACAAGCTCGGTTCTGCCAAATATTATTTTGGCATGGCTCAAAAAACAGAATCTGTTGAAAGTATTTATTCCACCACAGCAAGAAGTATCAGCAATCATATGCGATTCCCATTCTTGACACTTTGACATAATGTGCTTGTTGCTAAATATAACATGCAAATTGCTTTCTATGCCTTTCCACCCATATTTGATATGATTGTGGGTCTAAAAATTACTTTTAATCTGTACTCTTTAGAACGTAGGGGAGGAAGGTTGTGGAATTTAGATTGCCCCTATCTGGTTTAGATGTTACAAAGTAAATAATTTATGCATTCACTTACAGGAAGTTCTACCTATTACACAAGTATTAAAGCATTGAGTCTTTTATTTATATCGGGGTACTTCGTAGCCATATGTAAATAATAAAACTTCTGTGCACTTCCATAGCACGTTAAACAAGCCTCATACAAAACAACTTTTACTGTGAGTTGCTAATTATCATAAGCTGTGGCTGGTCCAGGGATTAGAGAGCCAACATTTGAGTCCCTGCTCTTCACAGATAAGCCTGCTAACTTCACATGCCCTGAGCCGCTCTGGGCCCCAGTTTTCTGCTGTTGTGAGAATTCTTGAGAAAAGGAGAGGCTGTACCTCGTGACTAATCTCCAACCTGCCTCCTCTTCTAAAGCTGTCAATTTCATCTTAAGTTCACTTTAGTTGTTCCTCTGCCCTATAGTCATTTAATTAGTCAAAGTTATTTAAAATGCAATGGGTTCGAGCAAGGAAAAAGAATCACATATTCATTTATTCAACAGTACATTTTTGAGCTTACTACCCCAGCACAGAGCACTCAGCGGGGCCAGGCTGCGTGCCCGGCACAAGAGTAAGTGCCTTCCGTGTCTTTGCTGATGGGCCTTGCCCAGTCTCATGAGCGCAGTATTTCTGTTATTATTATCCCCAAGTTAGGATTGAGAGTGTGGCCTCTGGAGCTACCCCACGCTGTCAGCCCACCCAGAGAACCGCGACGAGCGAGGGGCTTCACAGTGTCTCCACTCGCCCACTTGTAACACGGGGAGTGGTAACAGCATCTACCCCGCGGATTCTTAAGGACTGGGTTGGTACTGCGCGCAGCAGGTGTTGTCAGGAATCGGCTACTCTGATTACTACCTTCCTCAAACCTGCACCACAACTAGAGGAACAGCGGGGATTTGAACTCAGTTCTATGTAAGTCTGAGCTCTAAACAAGTGTTGCAAAGCCTCGCAGCCTCTTAAAAAATAAAAATACGATGCTGCTCAAATCTAAAAAGTTATCAAAGGCGCCCACTAACAACAGTTCAAGACTGCCAACTTTCCCGTCCTTTACCATCTCCAGAGGCAGCGACTCACCCACTGACAACCAGAGTCACCCTAGGTCAGCACAGAGCCGGCACAACCTGAGTCACGTCTCTCTGGCTTTGGCCATGGCAGTCACTAAGTCCTACTACCACCCCCTGTCACTGGGAACCGCTCTACTGTCTCTGAATCTCAACTTGCTGTTTCGGAAAACTTGATGCCCTGAAGCCCACCCTCTGCTCCGGCCTGCCCAGGGCGGACCAGCGGTCGGCGGAGGCGGGCGCGGGGGTGACGCCTGCCGGGACGCGGCGACCTGAGCCGCTGCCCTGGCCTTTGGCGCTCACATATTTTCCCTCGATGGTAACTTGGCAAGCTTTTCGTGTTACTTTGGCATCTCTCAGATTACAAACTGCCATTTAGAAAAAGACTCGCGTTTCCGAACCTAAGAAACTTTGCTCTAAACTGGGAGAGGTCTCAGCTGGAGGAGGGGCGCATTCATCTTTCTGCTCTGGTGAAGGAGCGTGCGGCCCCTGTAGCCGCGCGAGAGCCCGGGGGTCTGGGAGACCCCGAGGGATCTGGGTGCCAGTCCTATTCTGCTCTCGCTTCCCTCTCCCACCCCACTCGGTGGGGCGCACTCTCCCTGAGTCTGCCCACCGGGTTCCCAGGCACTGGCAGCCCGCCGGCGTCCCCGGGGTCGCCGGCCGCTGGGGCTCCGGGCCGCCCGCGGGGTGGGGCGCGCGGGGCACCGCCTCCCTCCGTACCTTCTCTCCCCGTGGAGCACGTAGGAGCTGCGGAAGAAGCCCAGGAGCTCGTTCTCGATCAGGGCGTTGTAGATAATCTTCAGATTGTAATTTCTCTGCGCGTCCAGGCTCCTATTCAGCACCACCACCAAGACTTGTGTTTGTGGGTAGAGGAAAAAGCCGCCCACGGGTACAGCCCCGGCCGCCCGGTCCTCGGCCAGTTGCACCTTCTCCACCGCCACCCGGGACGCGTGCAGCACGACGTAGCGGGTGGCGTTCCGGCACGCGATCTCCACGTTGACCTCCCCAGAGAAGGTGAAGTTCTCCATGAAGGCGGTGATCATCAGATTGTAGTGCAGCGGCTTCAGGTGGCCGGACAGGCGCAGCTGGGTCCACGGCTGCCACGGCTCCCGCTCCGCCTCCGACGGCGGCTGGGCTGACGGGGTGCCCGGGCTGGCCGCCCTGCCCGCCTCGAGCTGCGTGGAGTCCCCGCCCGCGTGGGGGTCGCGCCGGGCTGGTCCCGGGAGGCTCGCGTTGCCGCCGCGCTCGGGGAAGCCCGCGGGGCTGCCGTCCGCGCCCGCCGCTGCGCTGGTCCCGCACTCGTCGAAGCGGAGACTGAGCAGCACCGCGAGCATGGTGACCGCGAGCAGCGCCACGATGGACACGGCGAAGGCCAGCACGAGCCGTTTGTGCACCGCGATGTGGCGCTCGGTGGTGCGGGGTCGCACTCCCACCGAGTCCGCCCACGGGTCCGAGAGCCCCCTGCTGCCGGCCCGGCGTGCGGCGTCCTCGTCCCCCATCGTGGCCGTGAAAGGTGAGCTGCGCTTCTCGGCCCCCTCCTTCTTCTTCTTCTTCCTCTTCTTTTTCTTCTTCTTCTTTTTCTTCTCCTCCTCTTGCTCCCCCTGCTCGCCGTCCAGGGCCATCACACCGCCTCCTCTTCCCCCGCCCCCTCCGGCACCCCCCACGGGCGGGCCACCCGGGCCACCGCCAGAGTCGACATTAGGGAGCGCACGCGGGCCGGAGGCGCGACGCCGGCTGGGACCCTGGAGATGCCGGCCGGGTTCTTTTAAGACCGGCTGTGGCCACTGGCGACGGCAGCCTCCGCGCCCCCCATCGGCCCCGCCTCTCTCCGGACACGGGCGGCGGAGGCGCGGGGCAGCGAGCTCTGGGACGCGCCCAACTTGGAAAGCGTCTAGTTCGCCCCGGCGCGCGCTACTTCTCGGCGATCACCCGGCGCTGGGGCTCATGCTGCCCCCGCCCCGGTGAGCCTGCGGATCCCGGCTCTCCCTCCCCTGCGCCGCGCTCTCGCCAGGCTGTCCGCCGAGCCTTCCAACCGGTCGTCGGCTGGGGAGGACGAGCGGCGGTGGGGAGAGCAAGGGTGTGGAGAGGGAAGTTAGGGCTTCCGCTCTCTCCCCCCGCTCCAGCGGCGGCGTCCAGTCCTCTGGGTGGGATGCGTTCGCAGCAGCTATAGCGGCGGCAGCAGCACGGAAGGCGCCTGAGCCATACACCCTGCAGCCGGAGAGGATGGCCAAGGAGGGACGGACTGGAGGGAACCCGCCGGAGGAAGTCCCAGGGCGGCGAAGCTGCGCCGCGGATCTGCCCTGGAGAAGCCTTCTCCTCCTCCCCGGACACTTTAGGCAGCGGTGGCGGCAAACGGCGTGAGGTTGCAGACAGGACCGCGAGCCTCCCCGGTTCCGATGTTGCTCTGCCCTCCGGAGATGGCAAGTGAGGAAGTGTCCGGCAAGGCCATCCCCTTCAGGTAGATGAAGCCCGGGGTTTGCTCCGTATCCCCAAGGGGAGAGCCGAAGTGCGTGTGTGCGGGAGCGTGTGCATGTGTGTGCGCGTGTCTGCGCGTGTGTGCACAGGCTCCGGGTCTAGACCGCCAGCTACTCCAGCTGCATTCGGGGACTGAAACTCCGGAGAAAGGCAAAGGAGAGAGCGAGAGCGCCAGGAGGCAGGGAAGGCGGGAGGGGGAGCGGCGGCGCGGCAGAGGCAGGCTCTGGGAGATTAGAGAGCTTTTCTCCGCTCTGTCACACCAGACACCCACAGCCACAGAGGGGGTTGCTGAGCCGCCTGCAAGAAGTACATTGTAAATCTTCAGCGCAACCAGCCCCGCAGTCACCCCTCTTCCCCTAGCCCCAGCTCGGCTCCCCAGGAGGGATCGCTGGAGCCTTCGGCTGGTAACACATAGAGCCGGATTCAGCTGGGAAGATGTGGCCGAGTCAGATTTCACATCAAGATCGCCAGAGGATTTGGAGGATTATATGTAAATTTAAATAAATTCTCCAAAGCCTGACTACGTACATTACACTGGTGTGTCCAGGTGTGCGGTACTAAAACAATGGCTAGCAAGGAAGCGTTAGAATCCTCCAGAAGTATAGGCCAAAGGATGAAGATGTTTCCCCCCGTAGGATAATTTCTATTTTTAGATTGGGGTAACGATGAAAAATAAAGCCTGCAATGTAACATTCATTCGGGACCAAAAACTTGAGGCGGAGGCTATGCGCCCAGGACTTTGTACTTACTACAGTGATAAGCAAATACGTGGTAGGTCAGCTTTTCACTTCACCTGGCCACTGCTTCCTAGCGTTGGAGTAAAAATTGTTTAAACTTTGTTAGAACAGTTATCAATCAATAGGAAGTGCTTGCTGGCAGCAGGAAGAGTCAAAACCCGCTGACAGCTTATTGGCTTGTTAGGGACTCTTGTCTGAGTTTATTGCAGTTTAAATTATAGTGAGAAGTATGGATGAGTATATGGGCTGCCCCACCCCCAGAATTTGTGGGAACTCTAATTGGAATAATATTCAGAAAACAGCCACCCTAACGATGACAGCTAAGAGGCAGGAATCTCTAGTTTTTGACAAAACCAAGTGTGATTGACTTACAACTCAATAAAAAACAAAATGTGTAACATAAAGAAAATTAAACAATTCCTTTATACATGTCTCTTTCATGTCCTCAAATCTTGAAGGCATTTAAAAGATCATGTCCATAATTATTTTCCTTACGAAAAGGAATTTTAGTGTTACTGACTTGGGAGTACTGAAACTATACAATTGAAATAATTGGGTTTGACTTTAAAATCATGACCAAGGAGAAGAAGCCACATCCACATCAGTGTCAGCCTGATAACTGCTGAAAACCCAGCCCTGCTCAAAGAAATCCTTTCCATTTATCCCCAGATGGGATACTTGCTCAATGCCATACATTTTGAATGTCCATTTGAATCATTTTTAAATGACGATGAAAATAAGTGCCAGGGTGGGTTTTTTAAAGCATGTTGTATGTGGGCCGTTAGCAACAGACCGAGGGAAATGCCACATTCTGTGCAAGTTACTTTTTTCTGCTCTGTTTTTAAATGTCTGTGCTCTGACTGTCCATATGTATCTGGCTGTATGCATTTTAAGAGTTGAGGAGTTGGGATTCCTTAGTTTATTTTCGAAGAATGAACAACTATAGTGCAAGCAATGCAGAAGGGTCCCCCCCCCCGGCAGACCCTCAGCAGTCACCACCGTCCCCCCCCCTGCCCCCCACAGACCCTCAGCAGTCACCAGACTTCTCTGAACTCAGGCTCTACCCCAGTAACTCAGGATTACCAATCCCAGGTCCATGGACTCAGTCACAGGCGTCTAGACCATTCCCCAGGAGTCGGAGACGTAACCCACTAAGAGATGCTTAAGACCTTTCTCTTTCAAGAAAATATAAAGGAAAGCTTTGCTTTTTCTGTTCTTTTTATTATTTTATCAATGTGTTGAAGCATTTCTGAAAATCACCATAAGGCAACTCCTAAATATTTTGGAATTAAATAATACATTTACCAATTAGTAAACTCTCTACTGATTGTGATTAAATTAGCAAATGAATTATTTGTGAAACCCAAGTGGAGTAGAGAAAAGCTTTATTAATGTGGAATGGACCTAACTTGCTAGTTCATCCATTCCCCTTTAATGTAACTTTACCCAGTCAAACTCAGCATCAAAGTGAAGCAGATCAATATTTCCTCCTGTCATGTCAGTGTCACAGAAGGGGCTCAGTGAGTTTTCTTTTTTAATTCCTGAAAGTGCATAGCATCCTTTCCTTAAAAAGCAAGCACTTTGTATAATAATTTTTCATATGATTTGTTTAGAGAATGTTCACTCTAGCTTCAAACCAAAGAAGGGGCAGGATTTCAGAGTGCACACCTCACCACAAGAGGATTCGCTAATTCTCCTTTTTAAAGTTGCTTTCACTATTATAGGTCACTGGATCAGAGGTGGGTTCGATTTTGCCTTAAATAAGGAAACTGGATTTCCCAATGTCCCCGATGTTGAGAAACACAGAGAGTTTATGATTATTTTCTTTAGATAACAAATGTCTTTAAAGTCATTTTGTGGCTGTATTTGATTCAGGGATCTGTCAAAGTAAAAACAGTTGGAAAGTTTTATATACAGGAGGCCAAACAGAAGTTGTCTTTAATTAAATTTTTACTTTAACTAATCAACATGAACTATCTTTGGTGAATGCACTGGTTTGGAGTCCTTACTCTTTGACTGTTTACACTTGAACTGCTTCTCTCTCTCTTTTTTTTTTTCTCACTTTTCCACACTGGTTTGTATGTGGAAGCACCACTTAAGTGTCCTTACCTTCTCAGCCTCTTCAAGTGTGATTAGCACTTCAAGTTTAGAAGCCTCTTGGCTCAGGAGAAAGAGTGAGGTCTGCTCTGCCCTCACCTCCCCACATTATTCTAGCCCAGTTACTTTAATGGACTCAGGTTTTATCTGTTAATATACAGGAGTTAGACTAGTTAAACATAGAGGATCTTTTCCAGCATTCAAATTCCATGGAAAAATTCAGAAGCTAATACAACTACCTTCATTGGGTTCTCAAGGAATTGTTAATTTTCTCCATGAGAAGCCAAAAAACTCAAAAACCCTTTTGGCTAAGATCAAGTGTAGCAAAAACTAAAACCTTAATGGGTGAGGAAACTTTATATAAACAAATGTTAATTGCAAAAGATGAACAACGCTTCCCACTCTGGCAGCCAAAGCTGGAGGCCTTGTAGAGTTGGAGACCAACTCTGACCGGAATGGTGAAAGTCTGTTTACCAGCTAAAGTGGTGCCGCCATGTGGCAAAAGCAGAAAAGCAATTGAAATTTAAGATGGTGATAATTTGATAAAATTATTAACTTGGGGAAATTCTCATTATTGCAAATCTTATTAATTTTTTTGTTGTTGCACTATTTCAAATTTTTATATTTGACCTACTTCATCTGTCAGATTTGTTGAGGGGTTTCATACAAGAACCACCCTCACTGGTAGAACATCTCTCCAGATCTTGCAGATGAAAAGAGAAATCTTGGAATTAGATATAAATGAGATAGTGAAGTTTCATGATGTCTTTAATTTGCCAACTACAATTAACACCTTGATTTAACTGTCAACTGTCTGACTTCTGTTTATTTGAACAGATTAATCTAAGTGGATTGTACAGCCAAATTTGATTATGTCCTTTTAACCTCATAAAAATATGTGAAACTATGAAGTTGTAAAAAAAAATTTCTACTCTAATAATATATCACTACATGTTATAAGTCCCAGGAAAGCCTCAGTATTATGCTGACCCCCGAGAGAACAAGCTTCACAGCATAAACAAGGTCTCTCTAGATAGCAAATGTAAGAAGAGCATGACCAGGAAACTCAGAGTCATCCTCAATTCCATCACTGCACGTTATGTCCAGAGAAGGGAGACTAGGGATCTCGAGAAGGTTGTATCTTTATGGGGAGGGAGATTCAAATGCTCAGGAACGCTGAGTGTTGAAACGCTGTAGTGTTCACTATGGGCTCTTTGGTTTATGATTTCTGTAAGAAATCTCCAAGGTATGTATCGTGGAAATGTTTATGATTTCTTCATGAAACCTGCAAACATAGTGTATACCAATATCTACAAACAGTGGCAGTCAGGTAACATTCCAGAGAGGTTTGTATTGGGCGACTCAATCTGTCTGTGGCTCAATGAAGGAAAATAGTGAATGTGCCAATATAGTTGTTACCTTGAATGTGAGTTGCTCAAATCCATGTTTCTAGATAAATGTGGCAGGAAGAATTAATGATAATAATATTGGCTCAGAGGTTCAAGGGTTTAACTTGTGCTAGGTATTTGTCTAGCATTTTGTGTTATCTTATTTAATCATGAAAATAACCACCTTGAGGTCAATGCTGTTATTTCTCATATTTGACAAATGAGAAAAACTGAAGCTCAAAGAGATTAAATGTCTTGCCGAGAGTCATTTAATTAGTA